TATTAACTATGTAATGTCTTTTCTGTATTTTAATTTTTTCTAAATAATTATTGAATATATTTTAAACAAAGTTAAAAATAGATAATAATAAAATTGAGTCAAAGATATCATCTGTTGATAATGTTTAAAATTGTTATTATAATATTTTCATAATTTTTATTTAATTAATTTTGTTATTGTTTTTTTTTTTATAAAAAAAAAAGAAATTTAAAGTCTCTAAGATTCAAATATTGATACCTTTAAAGAGCAATAATATTAAATATTAAATTATAATATTAAAAATAAATGGACGGAATAATTGAGAAAAAAATTCCTAATAGATTTGCTAGATTTAGTTTAGGGGAAGAAAAATCTTTAAATGTGACTAAAAAATCAAACTCCTTTCCAAATAAGTGCATTATTCATCTCCAATATCTCCACTAATATATTTCATAAATATAACCCCTATTATATTTTATCATTGGACCCCTCAATATCTCGCTTCTGGTTTCATGTAATGTATTAAAGTTGTACATTTTTGGTTGTAAACCCATGCAACGAAGCGAGTTTTGCCTTGGTCTTTTTTCGTTTCACTTTTTATTGTTCCACATACACGCCTCGATTAATACTTTGGCAAGCCACCGGCAAGAACACACGACTAGATACAATAGTTTCAACGACAGGGGAGAAATCATTCGCTTGAATTAATACAACGCGACGACTCTATGCGGTCTAAATACTATTTAAATCTTCTCATCTCTTTCTCTTTTTTAACCCCACTTTCAGCTCAATCTCCCAACTAACAAATGGGCAAAGGTGCGTATCATTTCTACCCGAGCTTCAGTATGAAGTCTAAACTATTATATACTCTCATATTGTGCTTTTGATTTAGTCAATCGTAAAATCCATGGAATTCACAATGAAAATGCTCACCAATCTTCTCAGTTCTGGGAATGTCGAATCATCTTTGCCCTTTTTAATTTTTATAAAAATCTCATTATTTGTGACTGTTGATTCAGTAGGATTGACTAATTTTAATTGTGCACTTACATAACATTTTTTATTGACAAAACATAAAAATTTTAGAGATAATTAATAGGTCAAGAAAATTAGAATTTTTTATTAAAGTATTTTTATTAATTGTAATTATTATTGTCGCTGTTTTATTAATTGTAATTATTATTTTTATATCCTATTTCATTGATTTAATTCAACACTGCAAATTGAAATGTTTAGAAACAACACACTCGGAGTGATTATAATGTTAAATGCCATAAACAAACTAAGGTAATTCTAAGACCGAATTTTAAACATTTTAAGGCGTTTACCGTAATGCTATAGTTTGTTTATGACATTCAATATTGTAAACACTTAGGTGTTTTATTATTAAACACTTTAAGCATTGTTTATTACTAAACACTCGATTTTTCTCGGATTTGCAATGGATTTATATCAAATATATATTTTTCTTTATAATTTAAGTATTAATTTCTGCATTCCTTCTGATTTTCATATTCATTATTAATAGGAGATAAAAATAATTTTGTTCATAAAAAAAAATGATTAATATATAATAATTGAATTCTCCAAAAAAACAAAGTCTTGTAAAAGATACAGAATAATTTTTTTATGTTGCTTTTTAATTGAAGTATTGGTAATTAATTTACATATTTACATAGTCGTCGTAAAAAATTGTAACAATAAAATAAAAAGAGTTGGAAAAAACAGTGAATTGGCAAAGAGAGGAGGTAGTAACATAGGAAAAACCGAGAGAGATCAAGATAGTGAATGAGAGAGACAGTGAAGTAGGAGATAACGTCAGGTTGGGTTAGACAAGCATGGAACGATTCCAGTTTCGCGTTTTGCCGTAGGGCTCTCTGGGAAATAGAGCACCTGCTCGTCTTTCCTGGGTTGGGATAGAAAGAAATATGATGAGGAAAAAGAAGAAGAGAGAAAGATGATATAAACGACGTTAAAATGCTCCGGGAAATGTAACCGCGACGATCAAAAAAGATCGTGTCTTAGAATTTTCCATCAGTATCCCTGCTAAGATTTATTTCATTACGCTTCGCTACTTTTAGCTATATTTTATATGTCTATACATAACCTCTACTGTTGTTTGCATCAGCAAAAATATTTAACAGTGAAAAAAAATCAGTAGTAAAAAATTTATACATTTTTTCTTGAAATACTAGACAATTTTCCTGGTTTATACACACAAGAAGAACTAGCAAATGTTATTGAAAAAGATTTTTTTCATTATAGTTAAAAAAGAGATATTGATAACAGAGAGAAGAATCTTGGCTGGCTTTCCCACGAAGCATGACTTCCGTTTATATCCGAGAATGTGACGACATGGAGGACGCTACGGTAATAAAATGAATAAGAAAAGACCAACTGTTTATTTTACTAAGCTTGACTTGTCCCTTTGCTCTTGCCATCATTTTATAAAATTAATTGTGTTAACCAATGACCCTGGTATGGTGGATAAAAAATACAAAATCATAAAAATAGAATTAAAATAACAGAGAATAATCATCAAGTGGACAGTGACAATCTGTGAAAAGTCTCTTATCAGTACACCTAACTCGGCAAATTTCATTATTCAGACTATCACTATTTTTTTAAACTTTTAATAAAGGATCAGTGTATTTACATTGGTTCTCTGTAAATAAGTTAGATCCATAAGTAATGGGAATCAAAGTTTAAATACATGAAAAGTGTTGATAATTTATTTTTATTAATCAACTATATCTGTACCAGAGTAAATTCTAATCAAATTTCAAAAATAAGTTTTTTTTACTTGATTATTTATTCACTTGGTTTCTATTGTGATGTCATGCTTAATGTAGTTATTTAGTTCTCATTGTCAGTGGAAAATTGCTCAATTCACTATTAATAATTTTTCAAGCCACTTAAAAATATTTCAAGTAACTGGAAAACGCTGTCATGTTCTCACATTGTTCAGCTTATTTTTCTAAGTCACCAGGAAGATCAAGTTCAAATAACAAAATCACCAGATTAAAATGAAGCAAACAAGAGCATTGGAATAGATGAAATAATCTAGAATCTATTGCGTAGTGTCAATTAATCATTCCATCTTCTCCAAACTTTAAATGAAGTTTTCCAACATCTCCAACCTGTAAACGAAAACTTGAGATTTTTTTTCCATATCTAAAAGTGGAAAGGAATGTAAACAGTTGTATACAGAAGCTTATAGGATAGTTGAGTATGTGCAAACGATCAGTCGATACTCTATCTTTTATTGAAGCAACCAATTGGCTTGGTTCATCCATAAGAGCAAACGAAGAAGCCCCTAGCTTATCCGGAGCACGTGTTTCAGAAGCAGATGTAGTAAAATCTCAGCCTAGGGCTAGTTTAGGTACGGTTCGACCACCCAAGCAACTTTCGACCCCACAAAAGCCTCTTTGACAATCAGAAATGATGAGGATGTGCTTGAGAATTACACTAAACCAACTCTATTAATCTATTCTACAATTAAGTTACATTCTTTATTCCATCATGCATCAACTTGATGTTTACATTAGCGGTACTTTATTTGACTGCAGTTAAGTACACTTTAAATGTCACAAATTTGAAATTTTATTTCATGGAAGAGGTTTAAAGGCATTCTGAAAGGTAAAAGAGTAAGAGAGAAAAGTTAGAAATTACTTCATGTAAACGGAATTGTGCACATAAATAAAATTCTTATGATCCACAAGTACTGCCACAAGTGTAATCATCGATGTATAATAACTCATTCTGTATTGCACGTGTTTGTTTGTAGATCTATACATACATTCGCTAGCATGAAATAATTGCTATCATGTGGCTTTTCTCTACAAACAATTATCATTCTAAATTATTTCAAGATGAATTCATTAACATCATCTTCATCTTCAAGTTTTTTCTCCTCAACAAAACTATTATTAATCAATTAAATTTCATTATCATTTGTACAGTTGATTTGTTATCAATTATTACCAACAATTTTTAAATTAATATTAATCAGTAATTTAATTTCTAGTCACATGAACCTCTTATTGGTTTAGGACTCTGATAACATGTTGATACTTCCTTATGCTAAAATGTCTTTTAGAATTTTAAACATTACCCTAGATGATCTTAATTCAATAAATATGAATTAAAGTAATTATTCGAATAATAAATAAATTGGATTACTGAGCATTGATTCATTGGAAAAAATAGGTTTGAGCACACTTTGTCTGTGTTAACACGACAAACTTCCCATTAGTAATTGTTTATAACAAATTTAAATAGTTATAATCAATGTTTGTTGAAAACATCCAAATACATGTGATATACACATTACTTATTCAATAAATACAATTTTTAATTGTTTATAATAAATTCATATTGTTAGAAACAATGCATGTTTGATAAAAGTTATATTTAGTTGTAAACAATAATGTCTAGTCAGTATCGACTTAATTTTCAAATGAAAATGTTATTGTTTGACTTAAAAGTATTTTAAATAGCTAATCTTTTCATTTTTTATGAGTTATTTTGTTATAAAAAAAAAACGGCTTGACCGAATTTGTTTAAATTGAAAACGAAAAAAATGCTGACGTCCATACGTACATACGTACGTACGTACACACACACATCATTCTAAAAATTCGTCAATATGCTTGCGAATACCATGAAACGTGGAGATATGATAAAAATTCAAATTTCACCAATTGACCCAATTTCAATAACTTCCTAATGGGAAGTTAAAAGAAGAATGATTAATTGAGATTAAATTAATAAGTCGTGATTAAAAAAATTTTGGAATAAATGGAATGATATAATAAAGAAATGAATGAATAAAAAAATTCCATTAAAAACAAAAATTTTGTGATTATTTATTTGTTAAATATTTATTTAGAATATTCGCATAATTGCAAAATATCCTAAGATTGACAGATAATGATCATATAATTTAATCAGTCTCAGCAATGGAGAGACAAATAATTCATGTGCTTTTTCATTTATACATATATAATATATCATTTGTTTTAGTGTTTATCTCTGTTCAATAATAATATAATATTACAATAATTATATTAATAATTAATATGAATAATATACACACTTATAAATAATTAAATACTAAGAACAGACAAAATCGTCACAGATTTATTAACTTACAATTTTAATGTACATCATTTTCTACAACGACAGTCATTGTTCTAATTTATTTATTCACAATATTATTTTAATTAATATTTATATTTCACATTATTCCTTCACTATTATTAATAATAAATATATCTCAGCTCTCTCGTAAACAATTTTTTTTTTTCATATAACATTTTTTTTTTTTTTTTGTTTCCACGAGGTCAGGAATGATATTAGATAACTTATAAATGCTTTTATTACTTTTCTACTAATATCATCTATCTATGAGTTTTGTTTTTTTTTTCAAGAACTATAGATAATGAATTAGAATGAAAATGAAATAAATTGAAAAACGAAAATGACTGAAATGGTTGATCAGGGAATGACTTTGATTCGTCCTGAGCCACATTTTTCCTGTACAATTCATTTGCTGTGTCTTACAGACAATTAGCAAACAAATATGTAAGAAAGTGTCACCGTATTGACTTGTTTGCGTCGGGTTCTGTTTAAACAGATGTATTTTTTCGATAACTTAACAGGAAGAATGTTAATCACGTTTCAATTCGTTTTTAAGCAATTCTATATTATTTAATACCAACTCAATATCGTTCTTCAAGAGTTTCTTGACCCAGGTTAGGAATTACTGGATTTACACAATTGAAAAAAAACTCTGTTTACACAGTTGGATACCGATTTTAACCTTCAAAATTGTGCATAATTATATTCTTGCTACCACTAACTCACATCACGTCTCAAAAATATATATTCGGTGGGTTTAATTCCACTCTTTCGAGAGTTCATCAGGAGATATCCACTCTTGTTTAATATAAACTAAACTAGGATCATACTCCTGATGTTGGAGATGATGACTATGATTGCCACTAGTTATATCAAGGTCTCGATTGGACCTTGTTCGATATTCTCAGTACTTGTGTAATGTTATAGGAAGGTTTCCACTGGTGTTGACAGCATTGCAGTCTTGATAATATCTATGGTAGAGTGGTGGCGATGGAGCTGCTCCAGACGATAAAGGAGTTGGCGGGCTGGATCTAGGAACAACAAAATGAACCTGTACAATGTTTATGCTAATTTCTAGTATTCAGTGATTGGATCCAAAGAATTTTATTCATCAAATTCATCGGTGAAAGAATTTATTCTAGTTTACCTATACATTTGACAGCTTGGTGATTGAGTCTCCTGATAAATCGTTGCAGAGTCTGGACTAGCAGCTTCTTGATACCATTGGGAATGAGCTGTGTTATGAGTTCGTGCTGTAGCAGCATTGTAATCGGCATGATCCATAATGTAACCGGTAGAGCTCGGACAGTAAGGAGAATACATGGTTCCAGGTGGACTAGGATTACCTCTTGTGGGTGTAACATGACTGTACCCGGTGGAAACCATCATAGCTGCTGCTGCAGCAGCCGTTGTGGTAGTAGATGTGGTGACTACTGATAAATCTCTACTCCCGACGGTCGACATGGGGTCTCTTGAAGCCATCAATGATGGATGGGAATGCGTAGAATGTCCATGAGGATGCTGGAGTGCATGAGGATGATGAGAATGATGATCTCGTGTCATCAAAGCACTGTTTTCTCTTGTAGTCATAAGAGCATCGACACTAAACCCTGCTGGATCCAATCCTATATTCACATCACCCATACCACCGACTTCCTGGTGAACTTGATGAGGTTGGTGCTGGATTTGATGAGCTGGTTGATGTTCCAAGTTGGTTTGAATCACACTGGCAGTTGTAGTAAGGTTTTTAGCATCAATTCGACCATATTTTGCAGCTTGTCCATTGTTTGCCATACAAGATTGGTCATTTGGAGGCTCTCTTTTAAGCTGTTTACATTCTATTGTAGCTTTTTTTGATGAATCCTGTGAAATATTCGATTTGTCTTCTCTCTTATCAGAAATAACTCCTTGACGTTTTAAAGCCTCTTCTTTTTCCTTCAAAGCATCTTTCTTTTTAAATCTCCTTCGTCTCCTGAGATACGATCCATTGTCAAACATGTTATAACTGTCAGGATCTAATGACCAGAAGCTGCCTTTTCCTGGCTTCTTGTCATCCCTCGGCACTTTTACAAAACATTCGTTTAAACTTAGATTATGTCTGATGGAATTCTGCCAACCTTGTTTGTTTTCTCGGTAGTACGGGAAGCGTTCCATGATAAACTGGTATATTCCATTGAGAGTTATTTTCTTATCAGGTGCATTTTGAATAGCCATTGCTATCAGGGCGATGTAGGAATAGGGTGGTTTGACCATATCTTTAGAAGGGTGATGCATATGTTGCTGAGGGATCCCTGCGACGGGATAACTAGCTGTATAACTACCGTATCGATATTGTTCATAATATCCTGGTGTAGCAGCAACTGCTGGATAAGATGGAGTTCCCATTCCAACTGGAACACTTGCGGCATGCCTATAGTAGGCATTTTGTTCTCCAAACAGAGTATGCATTTTGGTATGTAGTAAAATTACAATTAAATGAATTTAAATAAATATTTATATTTACAACTTATTGACACTTGAGCACTGGTTTTGGTTATTTTTTAATAACCTTTTATCACTTTCAAGTAAATTGATCACTGACACTCGACTGGACATTCATCACCTTCACATTTGTCAAATCGGCCGAGTAAGATGACGTTAAAGATGAGTTTTATTAAAGAAAAAAATACTTTCTCGTCGTCACGGTGGACGGAGGAAGTGGGCTAAAGTCAGTTATAGTGTCTAGTGTAGAAGGCTCAGGCGTCGCGGGTGTATTATGATACACAACAAGCGTCTCGTTTACTCAGCCCCGAGTAAAAACACACTGGGGGCTCGTCGTAGCTCGTGGCAGAGTGTCGACTTGTCTCTTTCTTCTCCTCGCAGTTGAGATGCGCGGGCAGTGTCGCCTCCACCACTTTGGGTCCGTTTCAGGATCGTCAGGCTCTTGAAAGAGGTGGAGGCGAAGAAAAATTCGGGAAATCCTGGCCACGCCTCTGTTCAAGTAGGGAGCAGGACTTCAATTGGTATGAAGCTTCTCTTAAACCACGCCTTCATACATCAAACGATCAATCAGATTCAACCTGTTAAATAACTCCAAGACGTCTGCTACGCCCCATTCGGAGTCTGCAGAATGAAGATGTGAAACTACGCCCAGATGATACTTTTGGTATTTTGGATTTTGCGAGAAGCTAAATAGTGGAGTGGGAATTTGGTGGTAGATACGGCTATTTCATGATCATTTTTTCAAATTTGTGATACACCTGTGAATCTGTACTGTGAGATCATGTGCAACATTTATTTATTCCTTTCTTAAATACCAGTCAACGAGTCTCAATAACATCTGTTACCTAGTGAATTGGAGATTGTCACTTGACTCGATAATTTTTAACAAACAGAAAAATCACATGTGTAAAATTATTTTAAAAAACTATTTTCTAAAACCATCTTTAGTCTACTGAAAATAAAAAAAATACAATTAATAATAATAATACTCTGGCTTTGTTCTGAAATTGCTTGAAAACAGCTTTTATCATCACCATTATAATACACTTATCTAACAGGCTAAAAATTACTTAACCTTTATAAGAAGATTATGTACAGAAGAATATTATTTTTTCAACCTTAAAAAACTAACTGGTACAGAAATAATTAAAATGAACGATAAACTAGAATGCCTCCTGCACACATAAATGTCTATAAAATGTATAATAGCGTAACAGATATTCCAATATTTATTTTAGATTAGAAAATTTATATCAGGTGATCTTGGAACTATTCATGGCACACTGACTCTGTTTCATGTTCAACACGTATATGTTTTAATAAATTTTTTTGACTCACACAAATTATATTATAACATTTACTTGAATTGGGTCAAGAATTATTTTGTCAAAAAGGTCGAAACTCTTAGAAAAGTTGAATGAAATATCTAAGTAAATAGACATAATACATACGTATACATATATTCATAACAGAGGAGTATGAATAGCCTGAAGAAAATGTTGGAGAAAATGGAGAAGAAAAGCTTTCTTATAGTCGAAGGATTCAATTTGGACTGGTGTTATTCTAAGAGTTCGACTCCCGCACGCAAAAACACTCGAGGGACACTTCTTCCTTGCCATATCATTTTATACTTTGCCTCTTGCTTTTCAAGTCTTGTGCACCATATTTGAAATCTTTACAGATAACTTTAAATAATGCAATGAGTATCTTCATTGTGAATTAAGTTCAGAGAATTAACCAAGAAACCTGAGAACTACTTATGGATCCAACATAGATATTTGCCAAGAGAAACGTTTATGTTGGAGACTGAAGACTGGTGAGCAAGCGAGCCGACAGATGATGATCTTGAGCTTCATTCATCAAGTTGATTCAAGTCTAGCCAGTTGGATTAGTTAAATAGACTTGTATAAAATAGAGTAATATATAAGAAAATGTTGGAGTAAGAGACATAGATATATAAGAAAAATATTAGAAAAACTGATGAAACCTAGAGGGGTTTAGCTAATTTTCATTTAAATGAAACCATCCAAGGGAAACTCTTTATGGTGAGCCTTGGGCTATCGTTAGTATAGAAGTTAACCAAACCCCTTTACGAACTTTCAGGTAGAGTTAATTATCTTTTGCTCCCATTTTATCTAAGCTCTATCTAGGGATAGGAATATTAAATATGCCTTAAGATACTTGTGACAAACAATGTTTGATGCATAGTCATTTTAGTGTGCTTGGGAAAACAAATTTGGAAAACATTTAATCAACTTTTCCTATTCTGTTGTCATTTTATTATGAGTGCACTAAAAAAAACAGTCTTAGATCAAGAGTAATTTCATTCTGCATCATAATCATACTGAAATTAAACTTCATTTAAGAATATTAATTTTTCAGTGTAAGTTTCCATTACTTTTGATTAACTAAATATATTGGAAATAAAATTATACATCATCAAATAAGGTTCATTTAAGTCACAATTCATTTTAAATTCCACTTCATTATGATAGATGATTGTGATGTAATAAAACTAAGACAGTTCCTTGATCTCCAACACTTTTTTAAGTGTTAGAAAATATTAATATATTCATTTAATTGAACAATAACTCATCATCAATGATTTATGTATTTTGTTAAATACAAAGTATTGTTGATAAAAAATAATCAAGTGGAAAATAAATAAATAATACTAAATCTCAAGTTAACTGTTGAGAATGATGATCTCAAATAGTAATAAAATGATTTAAAAAATCGAAAGATTTGAATACAGTTGGAGTTTATGAGCTAGATTAGTATCCAGATATCAAAGTTCCATTTTAAGAACTATAGATAGATAGACAGCGCAAGTTTTATTTATTTGTCAAGTGATATTATAAAAATAAAAATTAATTTCATCATCATTTTGATAGTAATAAACCAACCCCGTGAAGTGTTTATTAAATCAAAATCTTCAAAAAATAAACATCAGAATAATATGCTTTCCTTGACCTACCATACGATGCCATGGTGTTTAAATTATCATTCTGTGACCAGAAAAAATAATAAACCAAATCGTCATTTTGAATGGGTTATGCTTATTATTTTTCTTCATATGTATTACTTTGCGACGTCTCGAAACCTCTTGCTCTTTGTTTGAATTTGTGTAGTAACATAGACTCTAGTCATACCAGCTATACCTAACTTTTTTTTACAAGACGTTGACCAGCAGTTCTATCTGTCAGTTCTATGCATAAAAAATTCTAGGTCTTACAAAATATAATTTACATTTAACAGGATTTATACTTATACTTATACCACACTCAATAGGGTTTCCCTTTTTTTTTATACATAATTTAAACTTATTTCAAGGGTTACAAATACAACTCACTCACACATGATGACCATATTTTAGATATTTATGTTTATTAAATAGTGAATGGAAAATTGGAAAAAAAGGAATTTTTTGGAAAATGAAATAAATCAACTAAGAATTTAATATTTAACATCTGCTTTTATTCATAAGCTTTTAGCTATATAGAGTTTCATGAAATCACTCTAGATGTTGAAGTACAAAGTGAGGTTTAGAAGCCTTCAACAAAGTGGAGTAATCATGAGTCAAGTAAACTGTTGAATTTTTCATTTTAAGATATGAGCCAGACATTAAGTATAAATTCAAGCTTAACCAATTCTCCAAGAACTTAGTCTACTTTTAATAAGAACAATTAATTCTAACAATAAATATTCACTTTTTAATTATTAATAAAAACTTGGTCTAAATAAATAAGAACAATAAAATCCAAGTTTTTAATTGGGTAAATCTTCTTTTTATTTGGTTGGCATCAAAATAGTGAAATACCTAGAAGAGTTTTTATCATGTCCATCATTGACTTGTGTCCACCTTCATGATACTCTACATTTTATAATGCTTCAATTACTACTTTCTTGCCAACCTAACATATCTTTACAAATTTAAACTCTATCAAGTTTTTTGAACAGATATCTTTCTTATTCTTTGGAGCAATGTTTCAATCATGATCACTTTTACATTCAACACTACTAAATAGTGTGTCTTTTACTGAACATTTAAAACTCCACTGATATTAAAAATAACAAAGAATAATTCTCAATCTATAACTTTACTAATTAAATCCAATGATGAGAACACTTTTATTTCAATCCCAAATCAATTCTTGATGTTCATTCAATGATCAGTAATTTTTTCCAAATAATTTGGAACTATTCTGAGTGCAAAGGGATGAAAATGATATAAGAATTGCGAGTATATTGAAGAGAAAGGGAGAGGAGTAGAAAGAGAAGTGGATGGTAAAATGTACAGTTTGAATATACGCAACCCTATCTGGTTTCACCAACCGCAGAGTATCACTGCTCTGCATCCAGATAATCCTAGTCGAGCTATTGATATGCTGATGAAGGTACTTGTCGCGTGAAATTGCCTCGGTGCGCTACATTGTCCTGTTCGATTCTGTCCTGCGATTCTTTTTGCTTTCAATCTCACTGTGGAAATTCCTGACACACTATTATATATCCCTCTAACATTGCACTTCAATCCTATCATCAGACTCCAGCTTTCGGGACATATTGCAGTTAAATCCTGACATACAGTTCAGAATTTTATTTTAATTTTAAGCTTCTTTTTTTTCTCTCTCTCTCTCTCAACAAAAACAAAGGGATTATCTTTACAATATTTTCGAGTTTTATTTACAATTTTAATTATTAAAGTAAAATACTTTAATTTTGTTTTGAAAAATATTTGTTTTGTAGAAAAATAATCCTTTACTTTGAAGGGATCCTAGTGTGTATTAGCAATGGATTAAAAGTAATAACAAAAGTTATTGACATGTAATAATCATTATTATTGTTTATTATTGACCTACAGATTACTAATGAAATAAATGTTTATTTATATTACCTATAAAAACATTAAACAAATATTTTTTTTTTTAATTTAAATATGCATCCCTTTTAGAATAATATTTGCATCAGTAAATAAATCTAATGAATTGTGTTTAAAGTAAAATCTATAATCATTCATTCACAATAATAACAATCATAAAAAAGACTTGTAAAATTATTAAAGCTTGGAGTAATATTTTTTAGAAGGCCTATAGTTCTGTCTATACTACTGAATATTTTTATATCAAATCCATATAACACAAAAGTAATTCAATTTTTAACTTTTCGTTAGGAAATCATTGTAATGGGGTTTTTTTCTTGAAATTCGGTTATATCTTGATGATTTGAGACATTTCAAAGCATATTAGAAGATTTGAAAATGGATGTACGTACGTACAATTGTACGCACGTACGTCCCGTTTTTTTTCATTTTCGATATCTCAAGAACCACTGAAGATATCGATTCCGGACAAATTTTATTTTAAAGATAATACAATAAAGAAAATTTAAAACGGGATTTA